GGGGGAGGGCTGCCATGGGGTGACCCCGAGGGACGGGGACACAGGGAACACAGAGGGCACACGTGCAGGTGTGTGCACACAAGTGTGGCCCCCCTCCCTCCTGCTGCGAGCCCCCCCCTCCCCTGTGCAGCCACCCCCTGTCCCCAGGATGCTCTTTTTTGGTACTTTGCTGTGACTTTTATTAAAGGAGAGAAAAGCAGCGGGTCTGTCCCTTATGGCCGAATCCAACTGGGGTGGGGCACCCCGGGGTGGGGGGACATGGTGTCACTGGTGTCACCCCTGTCACATCTGCCCCCCCACCCCCCGGCCTGCTCCCACCTGATCCCTGTGGGGTTTTTTGTCTGCAAAAGAGTTTTGTACCAGTTTGGTGCCTGGAGGGTGTTTGTGGGGCTGCGGAGGGGGTGTGTGTGAGGGGGTGTGTGTGTGCACACGTGTTTGCATGTACGTGTGTGTGTACACGTGTGTGCACACGTGGCTGTATTTGGGGTTGGTGGTTATGGGTGCTGAGTGGGGTTCTGGTGTTGGGGGGTCGGTGTGTGTGTGTGTGGGGGGGGTGTCCCTGTGCGTGTGTGTCGTTGCACACACAGGCTCTTACGTGGTGCTGCCGGGAGAGGTCAGCAGAGCTGCAGGCACCAGGGCTGGGAGGCGGGGGGGGACGTGCACACGCGTGGCGGGGGGGAGTGTTAAGGGGGATGTGTGTGGGGCGTGGGTAAGGGTGTGCAAGTGTGTGTTTGCACGGCTGTGTGTGCAGTTCCCTTGTGCACGTGTGCATGTGCTTCCTTGCACAAGTGTGGGTTTGCACGCATTTGCAGTGCTGGGTGCTGCACACACACAGGTGTGTGTGTGCAGCACCCAGCACTGCACACCCTTCACCCCATGTACGCACGTGTGCACCACCCACATGCGTGTGCGTGTACACCCTGCCAGCCGGGGGCCTGGCATGTGTCCCAGCGCTGCCACCAAGGGGTTAAGCTGGGGGGGCAGACATGCCCGCCCCCGGGACCCTGTTCTGTTTGCTCCCCCCACAGCTGTGAGCTGCTGTGGCCATACTGTGCCATGGCTATAAGGGGCCGTGGCTGTAAGTGGCTGTGGCTATAAGGGACTGTAGCTATAAGGTGCCATGGCTACAAGGTGATGTGGCTATAAACTGCCGTGGCTATAGGGTGCCGTGGCTATAGGGTGATCTGGCTATAAGCTGCAGTGGCCATAGGGTGATGTGACTGTAAAGTGCCGTGGCTATAAGGGGCTATGGCTATAATTTCCTATGGCTTTAAGTTGTGGCTATAAGCTGCTGCGGCTATAAGGTGGCATGTCTATAGGGTGATGTGACTATAAGCTACTGTGGCTATAAGGTGCTGTGACTATAGGGTGCTATGGCTATAAGGTGCCATGGCTACAGGGTGGTGTGACTAGAAGGTGCTGTGGCTATAGAGTGCCGTGGCTATAAGTGGCGATAGCTGTAAGGTGCCGTGGCTATAGAGTGCTGTGGTTATAAGGGGCCATGCTATAAGTGGCTGTATCTATAAGGTGCCATGGCTATAAAGTGCTGTGGCTATAAGCTCCTGTGGCTCTAAGCTGCAGTGTCTATAAGCTGCCGCGGCTACAAGGCGGCGTGTCTATAATCTGCTCTCTCCATAAGCTGCCGTGTCTATAAACTGCCGTGTATATAAGGTGCTCGGCTATAAGGTGCTGGGCTATAAGTTGCTGGGGCTGACGGTGCAGTGTCTCCGAGGTGCTGTGCACGGTGGGAGCCATGTGGGCCACGCTGCTGCTGCTGCTGCTGGCCCTGGGCACACTGGCCCTGGGGTTGGTGGCCCACCGGCTCTTAGCCCCGGCTGACAACCCCTTTGCCAGGCCACCCCCGGGGCCACCCCGGCCGCTGGTGACGGACCCGCGCGCCCGCGACAAGGTCCTCAAACGGGGTGAGTCCTGGGTGCCGTCTCTGTCCATCTGTCCCTCCGCACACCCCCACCCCTCCATGCGAAGTATGTGTGTGGGGGTTGCTGAGGCACACGCGTGTGCGCAGGGTTCAGCGCCCACCGGGTGCCACCGGAGCTGGACGCCGTGGTCATCGGCAGCGGCATGGGGGGGCTGGCGGCGGCGGGAACACTGGCCAAGGTGGGCAAGCGGGTGCTGGTGCTGGAGCAGCATGACCAGGCTGGGGGGTGCTGCCACACCTTTCAGGAGCGGGGCATCGAGTTCGACGTGGGTAAGGACCCCCCCCGGCACTCCCACCTTGGCACCCTGGCACTCCTGGCACCCTGGTACTCTGATACCCCCACCTCAGCACCCTGGCACCCCGTTACCCCCAACTCGGCACCCCGGTACCCCCACCTCAGCACTCTGGCACCCCAGTATCCCTGGTACCTCCAGTGCCCTGGTACCTGCACCTTGGGCACCCTGGCACCCCCACTACCCTGGTACCCCCACCTCATGTTAGTGCATGCAGGCAGCATGCAGGTGTGTGCAGGCAGCGTGTGAGTGTGTACAGGCAGTGTGTGGCTGTGTGTAGGTAGTGTGCAGGCATGTGCAGACAGCATGCAGGCATGTGCAAGTAGTGTGTGTTAGTGCATGCAGGCAGCATGCAGGCAGTGTGCGAGTGTGTGCAGACAGCATGTTTCTGTGTGTGCAGGCAGCATGTGTGTATATAATGAGTGCTTGTAACGCATGTGCAGTTTGCATGCGTGTGTGTGTGCAATGTTTGCGTGCAATGCAACTGCTCTTCACATGCAGTGCGTGCTCTGTTTGCATGCAGTGTGTGTGTGTGCGGTGCATGCGTACAGTGTACATGTGCAGTGCGTACGTGCAGTGTGTGTAGTGTGTGTGCAGTCCATGCATGCAGTGTGTGTGTAGTGTGCACGCAGTGTGTGCAGTCCATGCATGCAGTGTGTGTGCTGTGCATCCATGGAGTGTGTGTGTGCGCGCAGTGTGTGTGCAGTGCGTGCAGTGTGCATGCAGTGCGTGTGTGTATGTGGTGCATGCATGCAGTGTGTGTGTGTAGTGTGTCAGTAGTGTGCGTGCAGTGTGTGTGCAGTGTATGCATGCAGTGTGCATGCGTACAGTGTGCATGCAGTGTGTACGTGCAGTGCATGTGCATTGTGTGTGTGCAGTGTGTGTGTGGTGCATGTGTGCAGTGTGTGTGCAGCGTGCGTGTGCATGCCATGCTCCCCGCCTGGGGCCACCCCACCGCCTCTCCCCCTGACCCACAGCAGACAAAGGTTAAACCCTTAATTCCCCCCCACCTGCCACCCTGGGGGGCTCCTGCCACGTGTCCCCACGGTGGGGGACAGTCCTGTCCCCAGCCCCCCATCCGCCTGACATCCCCCCCCACCCCCGGGGGACCCACAGGCATCCACTACGTGGGGCAGATGCACGAGGGCAGCATGCTGCGTGTGGCGCTGGACCAGCTGACGGACGGGCAGCTCTGCTGGCAGCGCCTGCCCGACCCCTACGACGAGGTGACCCTGGGTCCTCGGCGCTACCACCTCCGCGCTGGCAAGTTGGCCTTCGCCACTGCCCTGGAGGAGCAGTTCCCCGCCGAGAAGGCGGCCATCAAGGAGTTCATGAGGCTCTCCAAGGTGGGAGGACACCCTCCTGCGGGTGGTGGCACATCCCCAGGTTGTGGGGTTGGAGCTGGGCGGCTTGGGATGTGGGTGTGGAGATGGCGGTGGTGGCACTTGGTGGGTCTGCGTGGGGATGTGGGCGATGCGGGTGATGGTCATGATGGGGAAGGGGCAGTAGAACACTGGGGACAAGGGTAATGGGCATGGAGGGGCCATGGGTGAGGGTCATAGTGGGCACAAAAATGATGGGCATGTTGGGGACAAGTGTGATGATCATAGTGGGGAAGGAGCAGTGGGAACATTGGGGACAATGGTGGGGACACAAGTGATGGGCATGCTGGGGACAAGTGATGATGGTCATGGTGGGGACAGGGGTGATGGGCGTGGTGGGGACAAGTGATGGAGGTGGTGGGGACACGGGTGGTGGGCTTGGTAGAGCTGGGTGCTGGTGAACATGGGTGGTGCTAGGGTCAAGGCAGCGACAGTTCTGAGGACGTAGTGGTGGCAGTGGTGGGGCGGTGGCAGTTGGTGACACAGGGTCGGTTCCGGTGCAGATGGCCTCCCGTCACGTGGCACTGCTGGCGGTCCTGAAGATGGTGCCGCGGTGGTTGGCCACCTTCCTGGTCCGCACCGGCCTCATCTACTGCATCTCGCCCGTCTTCCGCATGGCGGCCACCAGCCACAGCGAGGCCGTGGCCCAGCTGACGACTGACCGTGATCTGCGTGCCCTGCTCAGCTACCTCTTCTACGGTCAGGGGGCCATTGCGATAAGGAGGGGGCTGTCGCGATAGGGAGGGGGCTGTTCCAGTAGAGGAGGATCATGTTGTGATAGGGGAGGGCACCGCCATGGTAGGGGAGGGCACCATGGTGATGGAGGAGGGCTGTATTGCCATAAAGGGGCTGTGTCGTGATAGGGGAGGGCCATGTCCTGATAAAAGAGGGCCATATCATGATAGGTGGTGGCACCATCACGATAGGGGAGGGCTGTATCATGATGAGGAGAGCGGTGTCATGACAGTGGAGGCCATGTCACGATAGAGGGGGGCTGTATCATGATAGGGGATGGCCGTATCATGGTGAGGAGGGCCATATCGCGACAGTGGAGGCCATGTCACGATAGAGGAGGGCTGCCCTGTGCTGGGCTGGGGGCTGACTGTGTCTGTTCCCCCTGCCCGCCTCCATTGTCCCCGGTGTCCCTAGGCACGGCCCCACGGGACTCCAGCTTCATGGTGAACGTGCTGATGGTGCACCACTACCAGCGGGGGGCCTGGTACCCGCGGGGGGGGGCCAGTGAGATCGCCTTCCACATCGCGCCCCTCATCGGGCGCGCGGGGGGGGCTGTGCTGGTGCGCGCCCCCGTCACCCGCATCCTCGTCTCCTCCGCTGGCACTGCCGTGGGTGAGCCCTGACCCCCCCACCTCGCGGGGGGGGACACACGTGATGGGGACAGGGCAGGGGTGCCCTGTGCCCTGCCCCCCTCCACCTCTCACCCTCCCCTGTGCCTCCCAGGGGTGGTGGTGCAGAAGGGGCCGAGCGAGGAGGAGGTGGAGATCTTCGCGCCCCTGGTCATCTCCGATGCCGGCGTCTTCAACACCTTCAGCAAGCTCCTCCCCCCCCCGCTCCGCAGCCACCCAGGTACCATGTCCCACTGTCCCTGCTGTCCCCAGCATCACCAGTGTCCCCAGAATCCCTGCATCCTCATGTCCCCAACATCCCTATGTCCCTGGTGTCCCTAGTGTCCCCATCATCTGTGTGTCCCCAGCATCACTATGTCCCCATATCCCCAGCATCCCTGGAGTCCCTGCATCCCCATGTCCCCAAGACCTCCATGTCCTCATGTCCCTGGTGTCCCAAGTATCCCTGTGTCCCCAGCATCCCTATGTCCCCAGCACCCCCATGTTCCTGACATCCCCATATGCCTGGTGTCTCCAGTGTCCCCAGCATCCCTGCATCCACAGTGTCCCCAGCATCCTCTCATACCTGATGTCCCCAGCATCCTCTCGCACCTGGTATCCCCATGACCCTGGTGTCCCCAGCATCCCTGATGTCCTTGCCATCCCCACATTCCCAGCACGCCTGTGTCCCTGGCATCACCAGTGTTCCCAGTGTCCCCACAGCCCCAATGTTCCCAAGCCTCCCCACAGCCCCAGCATCCCCATGTCCCTGTCATCCCCGGCATCCCCTCTGCAAGGACGGGACATCATCCCCGTGTCCCCACTGGTGTCCCCACAGGTGTGCGCTCCCGCCTGGCCATGGTGCGGCACGGCATGGGGTCCTTCCTGGTGTTCGTGGGGCTACGGGGCAGCGCGGCCGAGCTGGCCCTGCCAGCCACCAACTTCTGGATCTACCCCCACAATGACCTGGATGGCATGTAAGGGACCCCCGGGCACCCTGGGGTGGGGTGGGTGCACAGTGGGTGGGGTGGGAGGATGGTGGGATTGGGTAGACGGTGGGTGCATGATGGGTGGGTTGGATGGTTGGTGAGCGCACGATTGGTGGGTTGCATGGTTGGTGGTTACACGATGGATGGGTTTGGTGCATGGTGGGTGCATGTCAGGTGGGTTGGGTGGATGGTGGGTGCACAATGGTTGGGTTTGGTGGACAGTGGGTGCAAAATGGGTGGGTTTGGTGGGTGGTGAGTGCATGGTGGGTGGGGTGGGTGCATGGTGGCTGCATGGCACTGCCCGCTCTGCCCACAGGATGACCCACTACGCCTCCCTGAGCCGTGATGACGTCCCCGACAACCTGGCCATGATGTTCATCACCTTTCCCGCTGCCAAGGACCCCACCTACGAGCAGCGGCACCCAGGTATCGGGTGGGGAGGGTTGCTGTGTCCCCCCTCCCTGGCTCTGCAGCCCTGATCTGCTTGGCTTTGTGGGCTCAGAGGCTCCTTAATCCCAGCAGCTGGGATTACGGGGTGGGAAGTGCCACCGATGCCACATTCCGGGTTGACACCGTCACCGGGGTCCCCCCAAAATGGGATATGGGGTTGTCACCAGTTGTCACCCCCCCCTCTCGCAGGCTGGTCGTGCATGACCATCCTGACCATGGCGCGGTACGAGTGGTTCGAGGAGTGGGCTGGGACCCGCGCCAAGCACCGGGGCCCCGATTACCAGCAGTACAAACTGGCCATCGCCCAGCGCCTGGTGGAGCGGGCACTGCAGCGCTTCCCCCACCTCCGTGACAAGGTGATGGGGGTCCCCACGGTGTCCTCCTGCCATGCAGGGTGCCCGGTGGGGAGGGTGAGCGGTGGGGACAGGGTGTTCTGCAGGCATGAGGGGGGTTGTAGGGATGGGATGCCCCGGTGCCCCATGGGGTTGAGGTGCCCCTTTAGAGTTGGGGTGCCCCACAGGGCTGGGTGCCCAGTTGGGACTGGGTGTCCTGAAGGGTTGGGGTGCCCAGTGGGAATAGGGTGCCCTGTAGGGGTGGGATGCCCCATGGGAATGGGGTGCCTTGTGAGATGGGGTGTCCCACAGGGTTGGGGTGCCCCATGGGTGTTGGGCACAGAGTGGACATGGAGGGCAGACTGGGGACTGGGTGCCTAGGTGGGACGGGGTGCCCTGTTGGATGGGGATGCCCTGTGGGGTTGGGGTGCCCTGCAGGGATGTACCCGGAGGGCATGGAGTGCCCTTTGGAGTTGGGGTGCCCAGTGGGGCTGTCCCCAACAACATGGGGTATCCTGTGGATTGGGGTGCCCAGGGGGGACAGGGTGCCCTGCAAAGCCATGGGGCATCACAGCCCCCCTGCCAGGACCTTTTGTGGGGTGGGCATCCCCCAGGTAGGCTTAGACCTCGTGTGGTGGATCCTGCTTGGTGGGATGGGTCTACCTGTGCCCCCATGTGCCCCCGTGGCTTGTGCACCCCCTTGTGCCCTGTGCACCCCTGCGTGTCTTGTGCACCCCGATGTGCCCTGAGCTCCCCTCCCCCCCCCGGTGCCCCTGCCCGGGCAGGTGGAGTTCGTGGAGGCGGCGTCGCCCCTCACCAACCAGCACTACCTGGCGGCTCCCCGCGGGGAGATGTACGGCACCGAGCACGACGTCGGCCGCTTCAGCCCGGCTGTGGTGGCCGCTATGAGAGCCGAGACGCCTGTGAAGAACCTCTACCTGACGGGTAAGGGACCTGTGTCCCCTTGTCCCCTTGTGCCCATGCTCCAGGCTGCAGGCGGTGTCCCCAGGGGCTCCCTGCAGCAGGGGATGGCGTCCCATGGTGGTGGCCAGCTCCCCCATGGTGGTGGCCATGTCCACCCCAGGGGGTGGCTGTGTCCCACCACAGCTTGTCCCCAGGGCAGGACGTGTTCAGCTGTGGGCTGGCGGGGGCCCTGCATGGGGGGCTGATCTGTGCCTCCGCCGTCCTGGGCCGCCTGCTCTACCTGGACCTGCTGCTCCTCAAGAAGAAGATCAAGCGGTGCCAGGGCCGGCAAGTGGCGTGAGCGGCCAGGGACACGGGCCGTGGGGGTGGCCCCGTGCCAGGGAGCGTGGGGCCCACCCAATAAACCCCCACCACCCCCCAGCCTGGGTCTGTCTCTTGGGATGGGAAGGGGATGGAAATAGGACGGGATGAGATGGACTAGGATGGGGATAAAACGAGGATGGGGATGGGATGGGGATAGGGAGAGGGATGGGGAGGAGAATGGGGTGGGATGGAGATGGGAATAAGGATGGGAATGGGAATGGGGATGAGGATGGGAATGGGAAGTGGATGGGGTGGAGATGGCATGGGGATAGGGATAGGGATGGGGTCGGGGATGGGGAGAGGGATGGAAATGGGGTGGGGATGGGAATGGGGTGGGATGGGGGTGGGAATAGGAACGCAGATGGGAATGGGATGGAGATGTGGATAGGGAAGAGGATGGGGATGGGATGAGGATGGAAATAGGGATGGGATAGGGATGGGGACAGGGTGGCAGGGCCCCGTCTCACGCACATGCCCGCCTGGCAAAGTCCAAGCAGTGCCAGGGTGCACTTGCAGTGGGGGGGGCAGTGCAGGCTGCAGACCCCCACCCCCAAATTTTCCCCCTTCTCCCTCTGTACCCCCCAACCCCCAAAACCAGCATAGCAAAGAGCTCTTACACTTTTTAAAACAATAAATACAGAAACCACCACACTCTCCCCTCGCTCCAATGGCGTGGTTTGGGGGGTGTGTGGATCCAGGCATTCAGGAGGGGACATAGATCCAGGTGTCTGGATGGCCCCTCCTGGAGCCATCCAGACACCTGGGTCCATATCCCCCCCCCGCAAGTGAAGGGTAGCTTTGTCACCAGGCTGTCCCCGGTGGGGTGTCACCCCTAGAAGTTGGTCTGGGTGGCAAAGGGGGGCTGACCCCCAGGGCCACGGCCACATTCTGGGCATGGCCCCTGCGGCAGCGGGTAGAGGAAGGGCTTCGCCGTCACCTAAGGGTGAGTGGGGGTCAGTGGGGAGGGGGGCTGTGTGTATGTGGTCAGTGACACCCCCCCCATTCCCAGGATGCTGGGGTCCTCAGGGAACGGAAGGTACCCCCACTTCAGGGTCCTCACTTAGGGTGCATGGGAGCAGGGGAGGGGACATGAGAGGGGGCTTGTGGGTCCCCCTAGTGCCCCCATGCTGAACCCCAAAGCCCCATAGCCCCATCACCCCATAGCCCCATCACCTTGTACCCCCATAACTCACCACCCCATACCTCCAGCACCCATCACCCCATACCCCCAGAACCCTGTAAACCCAGCACCCACCACCCTGTAGCCCCACCACCCCATATCCCCAGCACCCCCCACCCATAGCCCACCCACGCCAGGCTCAGCTGGGCACCCAGCACCCACCACCAGGTAGGACGCACCTCACTGTAGGGTGGGGGCTCCAGGCCAATGGGGATGGCCCCGCTGGGTAGACTGGGGAGCGCAGGCATCGGGGACAGCGGGGGGGGCACAGGGCCCTGGGGGTCCACGTAGGGCTGGGGGGGCACAGGTTCTCGGCAGAGCTTGCGGCAGAGGTAGAAGACCATGATGAGGAAGGTGATGGCTATGAAGATGATGATGATGAGGAAGAACATGATCCTGGGGACACCGAGAGGCGTGTGCTGGGGGCTGGCAGATCCCCCCTCCCTGACACCTTGGGGTGCTTGTGTTCATTCCTCGAAAACCCCTCCAGCCCCGTTCCCACACCCGCAGGGGTCTCTCCCAGCGCCCCGATCCACAGCTCCCCTCACCAGGGACTCTTCCTGGGCATGACACCCTCTGAGGGGTGAGCTCTGTGTCCCCACCCCCCCTGCCAACGAACCCAGGTGCTCTGGCACCCCCCGGTGCCGCTGTGCCACCCTCCTTGTCACAGCCGGACTCTGGACCCGGGTGCCCCGGGCACCCCACTCCCTGCACCCAGCACCCAGCTGCCCTTTGTACCCTCCCTGCCCCACGGTGGACTTTGCCCTGGGTGGGGGCTCAGGGCGAGCCCCCCCTCCACCTCCCTTTCCACCCCAGAGGGGCAATTTGAGGTGAGTTGGGCCACTTTGAGGGCTTTTTCAGGGGTGGCACCATGGCAAAGGGTGCTGGCACCCTGCTGTGGGGTGCTGCCCGCCAGACTGGGGTTGGGGAGCAAAAGTTATCCCGCTACTGGGATGGGGGGTCCCCAAGGTGCAGGGGGGGGCTCTGGCCTGGTCTGTCTGTCCTCTGGTGCGGCACATGGGGGTGTTCATGGCCCCCCCTGGGGTGTCCTGCTGCCAGCCCAGATGCCTGGGTTCCTTGGTAATGAGGGTCCCACACTGGGGAGGGTTGTGCAATAGAGTCCCCAGGGACTGGGTGCTTCTGATGTCTCCCTGGGGGTGGGATAGAGGATGGGAGGGGGCCCTCATTCCACCATCCCTGCCCTGGCTCCTCTCCTTCCTCCAGCCCGCCATCTCTCCTCCATCTCCCCTTCATCCCTTCTCCTTTCCCCCTCCATCTCCCCTTCATCCCCCCTCTATCCTCCTTCTGTCCCCTCTCCATACCCTCTTCATTCCCCCTCCATCCCTCCTCTGTCCATCCCCCCTCCTCTGGTCCGTCCCTCAGTCCATCCCTCTCTTCTCAGGCCCTCCCAGCCCTCCCCCACCCCTCCTTCCATCCCTCCCTCCTTCCCCCATTTCGGGGCCCTTGAGGCGGGGGG